CACACACACACATACATGTACACCTCCACATTCCAATGTATGGAACAAACGCTCACTGAAGTATATATATAAAGACCAGGGCAGTCCTCAGTGCGAGTCTTGGAGCCTCACTCTTGTGTGTGAGCTCTGGAGACTGCCCTTGCTAGCAAGAAAATCTGTGTGTTTCTCCTCTCTGATTCTCAGCTGAAGAAGTGTTTTAGAATATATCTCTTGACAGTTATACAGACACTTCTACTTTTGACACTAATCTGCTCTTTTTTTTTTTTTAATTGGAGTCCAGTCACCAACACTTCAATAAGTAAATAACTTGTTTCACTTTCAAATAGATTCTCCTTATGGAAATAAACCTGACGCCCAAAATAATCTAAAAAACGTCTTTGCTGTCCAGCAACAACAAAAACTTTACAGTAAATATACACCACACACAACCACACACGTACCAGTATAGATACTCACCATCTGCACACTCACTTATCTCTTCATGACTCTGCAACACAAAAAATGAAACATCTGTAATTTTTAATGTGAACAGGCATTTTTTGCAGGTTTTTAAAGGTACAAGAAAAACGATGAGATTGAGGCAAATTTTGCAGGTTAGTGTGATACTAACTTCTATTTATACTGACGGTTCTGTTTCTGTGATATAACCTACCAGAGGTCTTGGATTAATTCTGTTGAGGCTGCCAATGGCATCCTCCAGTTCTTGGCACGTGACACCACACAGAAGGTTGCTGATGGTCCGAGCACGGCTCACAATAACGCCAATATTCACCCCAGACTGCAGACCATAATAAGACGAGACACAAATGAGGAGAAATATTGGACAACCATGTATTGAGAAAGGAAATCCACTAGCTGCATTTATTTATTTTACTGACCTTATTACTGAAGAGCTCTTTTGCCTCTCTACAGTAGGTGTTGAGCACACTCTGAAGACTCAGCCTGAGAGGGGAGGAAAAGGTGTAAACAAAGTGGTAGTAAAACCAGCTCTCTTCATGTTTTCTGCAAACAGACACCATCTGACTGTCTCGCCATCAAATAGCTGTCATTGTTAATGAAACTACTCCTCAAAGCTGGTGGTATGCAGCGCTGCTGGTTGTCTTACTTGCTGGTGTTGAAGACGAAAGCAGACACAAGGAACCGGAACAGCTGGCATGCAGTGTTGTCATCCACAGCCTTAAAGAGGGCGACATAGATTGGAATGTTGGATTTTTATGGTTATGGTGTCGCTCATATGTGGACAACTTCCATAGATAAAATCCAATATGTAGCTTATATAAAACATTTAACTGATTACACGACAGTGAACATGCATATTTTGTCTTTTATGCATTTAAATCTAAGCGCACATCGGGTTCACCTTTATTCTGTTTACGTCTTCACGCTAAATGCCACCAGTCATGGCGTCATGTTTACACAGAACAAAGTCAAGAGCTCAGGGTGGAGATTTTTACAGCTACAATAGTTCTCACGATAACAAACCGGCCAGGGAACGGGAAGAGTTGTACATTGTTTCAAGACTTGGGACAAAGCGAAAGGATCCTTTCTGTAAGAGGAAATGGAAAAGGACCTTGAGCCACTCACATCTCTTGCCAGTCCACGTTTGATGCTGTTGATGTCTACCAGTCGGACGGGGACTTCTAGATTAAGCTTGTAGTAGATCTGAATTGTCTCGTGCATGCCGAGCAGCTCTTCACTAAAGGCAGAGACGAAAGAGTGCATGGGGCACATTACACCACATTAAACGATGCAGGTTTAAGAGGACGTCATGAGCTTTTGCAGTAAAATCTAGCAATAAACTTACTTCTGGAGATACTCCTCGGTGTCGCACAGTTTTAATACGCAATGCTCAGATTGGTTGGAAGGGATGTCCAGAAGCTGGGAGATGTCTTCGATCAGACTCTTCACTGTCCTGTTCACTGGATAAAAGATTAGACTTCAGAAACACCACACATGCCAACATATGAAGAAACTTAAGAAGCATTTATAGATATTACCTACAAATGACCCTGTTCAGCACAGTTTCCTGGGTTGCGAGGTTGGGTAATAGCTGCTTACTTGACTGCTGATAAGTCTGTTAACACTTTATGCCAATTTTACCACTTATTTATTTTTTTAAGTTAGAAATATCAATAATGCATAATTTCTAAAACAGACTACGAGTAACAAGCAACATTTTATGATCATTTTTCCTGTTTTAAATTCATTTAACTGTCACAGAAACCGAAAGACGGAGAAAGAAACAAATGTTGTTAAGTTGTCTGCAGATACTTAAGGAGAGACAAAAAGCAAGAAAATTGATTTGTGGTTAAATGTTGCAACAGAAAATATTATTACATTTGTGTTAGGCCTCATTTTCAGTAAAGACCTCAGAAAGATCCTTAGCCCACGTTTGTGACCAAATACCGTGTGTTATGGCTGCACTGTCATCTCAGAGTCAGTGCATGATGACAGAAGAAGCTTTGCAGTGAATTCAGTGATGTGTTTTAAACATTTGAATGTACAAATTGCACTATTGTAGCCACTTTTAAAGGATTTCTCTCCCTCCAGTATTTTGTGACATTGGATAGGGTGCTGCTAGCTAACAGAAGCAAGTGAACTGGTATATATATATAAATGTTACCTGAAGTGGGGATGGGGATCTGGTTTTGGTCCCACACCACACTGATAGTCACCTCGACCTGCTGCAGCAGAGCACGGTTGATATCCAGCAGTCGACCGCATACCAAACCGGAGTTGTAAAGACTGTCTGTGTGCTTGTATTTTGACATTAAGCTGCCAGAGACAGTGAAGAAAAACAGGTTGCAAATGCCAAATGAAAGTATGATCGCGATTAGAAACCAACTGGAACTACAGAGGAGCCGTCCAGTAGCGAAACAATTTACAGTAAATACACAGCATATAAGATTTAAAGTCCGGTGACTAATTTTGTTTGCCTGATTTCTGTCATAGTAAAGGAGAATATGGTAAACAAAATCATTTTATAGTCATTTCATTTCCATTACATTATGGTCATTTTCATACCTGGCAGTTGCAGCAGAAAATGAAACCATTGTCTTGGTGCTGCCCTCCGGAGTGTCTATGAGTGTGATGACCCATATATCCTGATGAGGAAAAGAATACAAGAGACACTCTTCAGTCTTTTCTCTGTATTTTGAGTTTCGATCTTGAACATTAAGGAGCTTTTTGTCTACAATGAGTATTGGAGATGCTTACTTGGTTGCATACTTCAGTCTTGGAGCGAGTCAGTCTGTAAAGAGGCTCGCTGAAATCACAAGAAACCTGCTTTTTGAGTCCCGGCCTGGGAGGAGGAGGAGGAGGAGGAAGTCGAAGGACCTTTTTTCCACTCAAACATTCACTGGGAAGCCTACATCTTTGTAGATTAGGAGATCTTGGGGGTACTGGGGGACGACCATTTGTGCTCTGCTGGTTGGTATTTCCAGGACCTCCGACCTCAAAATTCCAGATTTCATTTCCAGGTTTAGGCTGGGTTAAAGTGGGAGATTCTGGGATGTCGTACAAATTAGGCCCATCATTTTGTGATAGGTCATCAATGCTCTCATAAAGGTGTATTGCTTCTAGATCGTCCCTCAAAGGCATGGGGAGATCGGTGTCGCTCGCATCTTCTCTGTGGAGTGTTTCAGCTGAGCTTTCCATTGCATTTTATTCATGTAAACAAGTTTTTCTGGATGCTGGTGTTTCACACTCCGCACGGCCTTCATTCACAGCATGGCAGAACAGAAAAAAAACCTATGTGGTGGTATTAATGACAAGTTAGGATACTTGATGACTTACATTAGAAAATGCGAATTGTTGAAGGTAGGGCGGGTTTTATGAGCAGAGTCTAACTGAATCTGAAGGTTCAGGCTGGTGTAATTATTAACAAGCTTTCAAATCTTAACAGGAAATCCAACAGTGCACGCAATAAGCCCACAACAATGCCTTGTTATATATCAGTAACACCACAAATAACACATTATGACTTAAATTCTATTTTTAGACAGTATAAAGATGAACAGCAGGGAATTTTGAATTTAAATCAAACTCAAATCTAGCCTGGTACTTTTTCATATCACGTAGTGTCTTCCCTTCATGTCACAGAAGGGCCTCTATAGTAAAATGTTAAGACTAGCTGTGAATAACAATATTTGTCTTTTGCAAATTCATGGGTATATTTTTGTGAGCTTACCGTAAAAGCTCTGATGTCCGGCGCGTATCCTGTTCAAGGTGAACGCTTGAATGAAGCCATGCCCAGCCAGTTAGACCTGTAAGACATCAGGAAAGGTTTGCTAGCTCCTCCCACTGTTCCTCCTCTTCCCTCTCCCGCGTCACAAAGTTGCCCTCTGCTGGACAAAACTGTGTATTACATATGTGTGCGTGTGCTGTGGTTGTACAGGTGAGCTAATTCCAGTTAGTTTTTAGTCTTATATTAAAATTTGAAAACACAAAACAATCTTGACTTTTCATCGTATGTTTCAAATGCTGATTAGATTTAATTTGGGTGTTTGTTTTTCACGAGTTAACCAATAAAAACCATATGTGACATTAATTTTCAAAGCAGCATCACTTCTGACTTTACTGTATGTGTGTCAAAATGTTTTAAACGTGATCATAAACATGGATAAACACGTCGGTCCAGTTCAACTAACACACCGGACTACACTGAATACACTCCTCATGGAGGAATGCTATTGAGCAAGTTGAGATACGCGATCACTGTGTTTCAGTGGGTCACAAAGACTTGAAAGGAGCGAGAACGACATGCATGTTCAGGTAGTCCCCAGGTAGCACATAAGGTAAGAATACATTTAAGAAAGAAAAACGCAGATATGTTAAAATGCGTCGCTGTAGTATCCTTTAATCAGCCGCCTTTTCAGTTCAGTTCGAGGCACGTAAATATTTACTGTACTGTACATACAGATTTGCTGGATCTTACATGCCACGGCGACATTTGTTTTTGCGTCTTTCTGTGGGAATGAAAGCAGAGGCACGGCACTGAATGTGTCACACAGGTGCGCAGCACAGACGGCTGCTATAAAAGGGACGATGGGGCAGGAAGAAATGCATCCGAACCACACAACTCCCCATATTTCACCAGTACCCAGCAAACCTGTATTTCCTGGTTACTATTCACTCATCCCTTTGGTTGTGCTCATACTGATTGGATGCATAGTGGCAGTGGTAAAAATGTTTATTTACTTCTGCACAATTCACTTTCAAAATGATGTCTTACACATCTATTATAGTTGCACTTCTGTTTGGCTTGTGCTTCTCTTTAGGTTGTTTATATCAGAAGAAAAATGAGGTAAGGTAACTCCTGAAGTTGAAGCATCATCTTGAGCTCGGTTTGGGCTCTTTTATGTTCAGGTTTCTCTCTTTTTTTCAGATTGGATGATTTGCGGCATAGGTTGATTCCTTTGTACAGCTATGACCCTGCTGAGGAACAGGAAGACTGGGGTGATGCTGGCAGGGAGGATGAGGATGCGGCGCTCAATGTAGGCACATTCTTCTAGTAGATTCAGAGGAGTTAGAACGAGACTTTATATGTTTGTTTTGATTTTCATTTATGTACTGTCACCATTAAGAATCTTTGAGGTCAGTATTAAAGCTTCTGTTTACAATTGGCAGCCAACCAAAAGAAAGTTGACAAAGTATGGGACAAAAGAGCTCAAGCAGATTGAGTCCAATAAACTCGACTGGTTGTTATGTAGCACTTTTCTGCTCTACTTGAGCACTCAAACCACTTTATACTACAAACCTCATTCATTAAAACAGCATTTTTTTTTCTAAGCGGATGTGCTTTCTAACATTCACACTCTAATAAACTCATCAGAAGGAACTTAAGGATCCTTCCTTAAGGAGGAGTCTTTTAAGGACAATGGAACAGCCTGTGATTTGAACCACAAACCTAGACACTGGTAGACAACCCACACTACCTCCAGAACCACAGGCACCCTAAACTGGATAGAAACAGATAGCCACATAATGAAAGGGACACCATTAATACAAATACAATGTTTCCATCAATCTAAGTACTTATGATGGCATGTTGGAGATTTAGAAACATGCCCAAGCACTCCTTGGCATGCAGACTGGAGCAGCCAGGGATTGAACCACCAACCTTCTGATTAGTAGATAACATTCACTACCTCCAGAGCTACAGCTACAAATACACCTATACAGGGCCTTTTAAAACTACACCTGTCCATGTTCATTGGTAAATTTCTATAATCAGTCACATACAACAGCTCTTGTATCATTTGTTACCATGTTAGCATCTTGCTAACAATTTGAACTGTAAGTTATTCTTCAGCTGTACTTTTTCTGCAGCTAGCGGCGTCTGTCATTTATTGTCTACTGATTTGCTTTGACTGGTTAATACTTCTATTTGAATCTGTTTTAACTGTGCATGTGCTCCCTTTCTCATTCTCGGGCTACCTATTTCTGCCCATTACTTTTGTGGGGGCTGTGATCCATGAGGTAGCATGGGTTGTCTACCAGTTCCAAGGTTGGTGGGTTAAATCCTTAGCTGCTCCAGTATCTTCCAAAGAATCCATGGGAAAGATACTGAACTGCAAAGTCCTCCTGATGTACTCATTTGAGTGTGAACATTAGATAGAAAACGCGTAAGCGTAAGGAAACAATTACTATTGTGGATGAGGCTTATAGTATAAAGTTCTTTAAGTGTTTAAGCAGAGTAGAAAAGTGCTATATAAGAACCAACTACATCTGATTCGTACTTTAAAATGTCACCTTCAGTACCCCTGTGTATGATTCACTGAAGTACAGTCACATAAGTTTTAACACTTCGATTACATATTTTCAACTTCATACTCGTACCCTCATTTCCTGTCATACACGTGGGTGGCAATGACCATTTCAGCTTATGTAGAATTTGATTTTCTTCACAGGAACCTTTGTACAAGGCGGCACAGCTCACCATTTCCTCTGGCTCGCAACATGATCACAAATTTCAGAAGAAACTCATTTAGGCAAATAAATCTTTATTTGCTCTACATGCTGCACAGCAGCAGCTTGTTGCCTGGATTCAAAGTGTATATAGAGGTTGTGGTTGAAATGTGACTTAAAGCAAACACCAGATGGCAATGTAACACTGCCTTTTTTTTCTTTTTCTTTTTTTTTTTTTTTACCTCAGCTGAAATTATTTCTTTTAATAGGCTGCACAGAGTTTTATTTTAAAGGACAAAGCAAATGTTATTCCTGTGCAATAAACTGGAAGTTTAAAGTTTGAAAGGTGTTTGCGTGAATTCGTGTGTTTCTTCTTTCACATGTGTGCGCAATGACATTAAAGACACACCTGTTTCTGATTAGCAATCAGAAGCTGGCGTTTTAAGGTTGCTTGAGTGGACACGTTTTCACATTTGCTGGGATTTTACAGAAAAAGATGGGATTGCAAAGAAAGACCAGGTGAACAGCACATACATGCCTTTAATTGAAATATTATTTCAGTATGTATTGTTTTGGTGTGAATTCACATTAGTCTGGGCTTCCATCTGTTTAGTCCATGCTGCTTCTTGATCTCCATCCTGCTGGTCTCAGCTGCGATCCTCCCAGCACTGGCTCTAGATAGCCTGCTGTGCTACTACTGTCCTCTGCAGCAGAAAAGCAAGCCCTGCCCCCAAACCACCAGCCAGTGTATGCCCGACCAGCGCTGCGCCATCTCCAGAGGCAACTATGGCTTCTTCCACATCTTGTCTTCTCAGGGCTGTGTGGACAGTAAACTCTGTGGCTCCCATAAAGTCATCTCTTACCAGGGAGTCAAATACAATGTCAGCTACACGTGCTGCTGTAAAAATCAGTGTAACATCCCGCCCAAATCCGACAGCAATCTGAAGAAGCTACTGGATTTGATTGCATTAAAGGTTGATCATGTCGGGAACACAGATGGTCTTAAAGAAGAGCCTTTGGATTCATGTCCAAATAACACAAGAACAACAATACCTGTCACTGATGCATAGGTACCTGTATTGTTGAAGACTGGGGAGAGTCCTGTTAGCCACTGGCACTTAAATCTTCAGAAGATGAAAGGCATTCAGTCAAATGTCTAAATCTCAGTCATTACTTTAAAAAAAAAGTTTGTATAATTTTTTTTTTTTTTTTTTAAATGTATGATGTATTGTGTGACTTGTATTTATGCACCAGAGAGATGGACTTGTCAACCATCTTTCTGTAATGCCTATTTCCATATACATGTGTTTAAAAAAAAATAAAAGCACTGGCACAATCAAGCTTCTATTGGTGTAGCTGCTCTGTGTGAATTAACAAGCAGGTATAATCAAAGGTGTGGCCTGTACAGCTGGAGTCAGTGATGAGATTGGAGTTCAGCAGGAGAAGCTCTGAAAAGTTTTGGCTGGACTTAAAATCTCTTAAATGACAAGGTGAGACTGTGCGAAGCTTCACACTAAAGTTGTTCCTGCTTTTTATCGTCAATGCTGGAAGTAGTCTGAATGTGATTATCAGAGGAAATCCTTCACACCAATACAAGAAATGGTGAAATTTCATACTTACTGCACAGCTGTACAAGTTGACCGGTTTTAAAGATGATAGCTGTGAAGATGTTGTCCATCTGTTTAATATAATGGATTTAAATGGCACTCACTTTGTTTCATGAATGAAAATAATAGCACAGAAAAATTCAGCAGCAATGTTTCTTTCCAGTAATTATGACCCATTATGACATTTTATCTGTGAGCTATTTAATGTGGTAAATATATTATCTAAATTCAGCCTTTACCAAGCAATAGAAACTTGCAGCTAACATGTAAGTTCAGGTAAGGGACCAGTGACTTATGAATCCTCTTACAGGGTGCTTCACTCTGCACAGCATTACAGTTTGGAGGTGTTGGGGACAAATGGCTTCTATGAAACTGTGGAAAGATGTTGGTACTGAGGTTTTCAATTTGTTTTTCTTGTTTTGTTTTGTATTTTTTAGCACTTTGAGTATCAGAGTATCAGTTTTTCATCAGTCCACTTATTTACTGCAGGTGGTGCTGGAGCTCATCCCAGGCGGGTGGGGGTGGGGGCGTACACCCTGAACAGGCCACCAGTCTGTTGCAGGGTTAACACAGAGAGACGGATAACCACACATTCTCACATTCACACACCTGCAGCCAATTTGCAGTCACCTATTAACCTAATGAGCTTGTCCTTGAGCTGTGTGAGGAAGCTAGAGTGCCTGGAGAAAGTCCACTGTGCTGACCAGAGTCACTCTGGAGACAAGTGTTGTTTAGTCCAGTTATATTTAGGAGAAGGAGACATTTCTGCAGCTGAGAGACTTCTGCTAACTGGTCGGTTTGCATAAAATAAATCTAATTTTTAAATGGCTTTACAACCCAGACAGAAAGACGCAGTTGATTTATTGATTTAGTGAAATAACTATTTAAAATCTCTTTTTACCAGTGGCCTTTCGGTGTAGATTGCAAAAACTAAACCACTGTAGCACTAAGTATGTTTTACCCAAAGTTTAACAGATCCTTGTCTTTTCTTTGCAGCCTTAGCATGTTGAAGCTCCTGCATATCACTGGTTTGTGGCTTCAC